TCTTCCCTAAATCTGTACACACACACACACACACACACACACACACACACACACACACACACACACACACACACACACACACACACACACACACACACACACACACACACACACACACACACGCACGCAAACATCCCCCACACAAACCACATACAGACCTTCACCATCATTTAACCATAACACCATAATTACATCAATAACACCATAATTACACCAATAACCTAACCTAACCTTTTCCTATTTTGTTGCATAAAAGCCATAAAATTAATTAATACTTCCCCTTAACACCACATACCGTTTTCTAATCAAATTAATTATATTCATAGATTTATAATTACTCCTCAAACTATAATCAAATTCCTTGAAATATAATTATTTCTCAAACTATAATCAAATTCCTTGAAATATAATTATTTCTCAAACTATAATTAAATTCCTTGATAAATAATTCTTAAACTATAATTAAATTCATATATAATTACTACTTAATTATTCCATTTTCTATATATTCCTTAGATTTACTTTAGTTCTGCCTAAAAACCTCGTCACTTTTCTATAATATATCGACCTCACTAACTCAAGACAGACAGACAGCCAGACAGAGAGAGACAGCCAGACAGAGACAGACAGACAGCAAGAGACAGACAGACAGACACTTTATTCAAGAGATCCAGCCCCTCACCGCCCCCACCACTGGATAAACACCATAAACTGCACCCCGGAGCCTCTTCCTCCTCTATAAATTCCAGAACACCGAGAGACCCGACCTCTCTGTTTACATCGCCCCAGTTGCCAGTTTACCACCAGCACAAACGATTCAAAAACTACATCTATGCCTATAGATTTGATTTTACACATAGGCAGCTACGTTCTATAGGCACTTTACACATTATTGAACCATAATAAAATAATTTCTAGTTATTTCATTCGTGTATAAACGCCTGAATAGCGAAAATATTCCAATGTTTATATAGGTAGAGTTGCCAGATGCCTCTATAAATAGGAAAGACGTTTATATGGGATCTAACTAATTATTACTTTATATATTTCGTAAAATCGCAACAACATAGAATCAAAGACCTTTCATTAAGGAATCTGACCGTACATGATACGCTCAAACACTATAAACATCATCAATCTAGACCCTAATTTCCCTAAACACCTCGTCCTCTCTGTAGATTCAAACGTTTATTGAAAATTACGTTGTTTACTTTGGTTGAGTTACCAGTTTACCCCAAGACATCGAATTCAAAGTCTATTAATCTTTGGATCTGACGCTATATTGGAACCCCTTTCATTGACCCTTTCTGTTCTATATACACAGGAACTCCTTTTAATAGACCTCAACACTACATCCTATCTTTAAATAACAAAATAATGAAAAAATCTAACATTATTTACATTGTAGTTGCCAAGTACCTCCATCAACACGATTAAAGTGGATAATTACAAGATTTGGCTATAAATTCCTAAATAATCCTTCAATGAATCGATCTAACCCTCCCATTCCCTTAAATTTACTAGATACAGCCATAAAAGGTATTGGAGTGTGTGTGTTGTAGAATCGGATCCGATATTATACCAGAAACTTTCAATTTTGTTCCATATTATTACTATTTATGATCCAATCCTTTATAATGACAAGAATCCAGAAACTTTCAATTTTGTTCCATATTATTACTATTTAAAATGATCCAATCCTTTATAATAACAAGAATCCAACCCCACAAGGCCCACGTCCACAGCATAAACACCAAACACCTGCAGGGGGACCAGAACCTATCTCCTAGCAGCTATAGATTCGAACACCACATGGCTACAGGCGGATCCAATACCACAGTGTAAACAAGGTCTCATTTTTTTAGGGATTTCTTGAGCCATTCTTACTCGTGTTGACTTAATGTGTGTGTGTGTGTGTGTGTGTGTGTGTGTGTCACTCCCATAAGTCCTTCCCTACCCTCTCACCCCTTCCCCTCTCATCTCCTTCCCCCACCCCTTTCATTTCCTTCCCTCCCCTCAGTCAGCAAACACCATAAGGCCCAGAATGTAAACAAAGGCATTAATTCCCTGACTCACTATGCCCTTCCTGAGAGACCAGCTCCTGAAACGATATAATATAATATGTATGTGTGTGTGTATGTGTGTGTGTGTGTGTGTGTGTGTGTGTGTGTGTGTGTGTGTGTGTGTGTGTGTACCCCAGCTGTAACGAGGACTGTAATACTGTAATACTCGGAAAGGTAACAAGATATAGGTGTAATTATTAATGCGTACTGACACCACCTGATACCACCCTGACCCACCTGCCCATGACACCACCTGACACCACCACTGAACCACTTACCTGCCCCATGACACCTGACACCACCCACCTACCTACCTGCCCCATGACACCACCTGACTACCTACCTACCACGCCCATGACACATATGCACCTCACCTACCCGCAGACACCACCACCCTGAACCACCTACCTACCTGCCCATGACACCACCACCCTGAACCACCTACCTACCTGCCCATGACACCACCTGACACCACCCACCTACACACCCAGCCCCACCTACCTACCTGCCCATGACACCACCTGACACCACCACCCTGAACCACTTACCTGCCTGCCCATGACACCACCACCCTGACCCACTTACCTACCTGCCCATGACACCACCTGACACCACCCTGCCTGACCCTGACACCACCACCCTGACCCACTTACCTACTTGCCCATGACACCACCTGACACCACCTGCCTGACCACAACACGAAATACCAAGAGGTCGAATTGTTCCATATTTTCTGCTAGTTTTAGTAGCTGTTTTAACTAGTTTGTTTGTAGAATTAGTTGCTAGTTTTATGTAGTCGTGGTACTGATAGTTTTGTAGTTATAATTACCACGTTATGTAGTTTTGGTTATTGCTATTTGTTGTAGGAATAGTTGCTAGTTCTCGTAGTCATAAGCGCTAGTTTTTATAGTGATAAGTGCTAGTTTTATAACTCGTAATTACTGGTTTAATAGCCGTAATAACCAGGTATTGTCAACATAATTACTAGTGTGTCGACAAAATCACTAGCTTGTCACCGTAATTACACGCCTCTACGACCCGTATAATTACTAGCCTCCACCGTAATTATTAGCCTACTACAATAGCAATCATCAAAATACCTGTAACCTGAACGAAACTACGATAATAACACGACAAAAACACGACAGAAACTGAACAAAAAATACAGTAGTCATCCCTGTCAACCTCATAAAAAAACAGAAAACGAGAATGCAATATGGCGTCCGTCCGTCCGTTCCATCTCAGAAGAAAATGATAATATCTAACGTATTGTTCCGGGAGAATTGTTACCACTGTCCGGGCTGAGGGAAGGAATGAAGGAGAGATGGGAGGAAGGAAGGACAGCACTTAAGGAGCCATGTAGGGCGTCTGAGGGAGGTTAAAAGACACAGCACCGCAGGATTACGACCCCAAGCTTTTGTTTACTTCTCAGACAGACCTTCAAGAGACGACCAGACAGACACAAGGAATAACAAGATGTCGTGAAAGTAAATAAAGTAATATAAGTAAGTTTAAAAAGTATAAGTATTTAACGAGATTATTTGAACTAGAGATAAATTCACTTAATAATACCAATTTTTAGTTATTACTGTAATATTCCCTATAACAACTGTATCGTGACTGTGACGCCTTCACTACAGCTGTACTTCCACTGTAACTCCTTCACTACAGCTGTACTTCCACTGTAACTCCTTCACTACAGCTGTACTTCCACTGTAACTCCTTCACTACAGCTGTACTTCCACTGTAACTCCTTCACTACAGCTGTACTTCCACTGTAACGCCTTCACTACAGCTGTACTTCCACTGTAACTCCTTCACTACAGCTGTACTTCCACTGTAACTCCTTCACTACAGCTGTACTTCCACTGTAACTCCTTCACTACAGCTGTACTTCCACTGTAACTCCTTCACTACAGCTGTACTTCCACTGTAACTCCTTCACTACAGCTGTACTTCCACTGTAACTCCTTCACTACCTTCTTGCTTCCTTTATAACTCCTTCTACATTTCTTCCACTGTAACTCCTTCCCCAGCTGTACTTCCCTTCTGTCTTGCCTGGCCTGTGCTTCCTGTAACTCCTTACTAGCTGTGCTTCCCACTGTAACTCCTTCACCAGCTAGCCTTCCCACTGTAACTCCTTCACACTCAGCTGTACTTCCTGTGTAACTCCTTCTTTCTGGCTAATAGCCCTGTAACTCCTTCACTACAGCTGTGCTTCCATAGCTCCTTACAGCTGTGCCCTGTAACTCCTTCACCCTACAGCTCATGCTTTGCAGTAACTCCTTGCTAGCTGTGCTTCCTGAACCCCTTCACTACAGCTGTACTTCCACTGTAACTCCTTCACTACAGCTGTACTTCCACTGTAACTCCTTCACTACAGCTGTACTTCCACTGTAACTCCTTCACTACAGCTGTACTTCCACTGTAACTCCTTCACTACAGCTGTACTTCCACTGTAACCCCTTCACTACAGCTGTACTTCCACTGTAACTCCTTCACTACAGCTGTACTTCCACTGTAACTCCTTCACTACAGCTGTACTTCCGCTGTAACTCCTTCACTACAGCTGTACTTCCACTGTAACTCCTTCACTACAACTGTACTTCCACTGTAACTCCTTCACTACAGCTGTACTTCCACTGTAACTCCTTCACTACAGCTGTACTTCCACTGTAACGCCACAATTCCCTTCCATGACAGCTTATAACCCCACTGTACCTCTGTAACCCAACCAACTACAGTGTTACAATGTACTCACGTGCCTGTAGAATACCCGGGCGTCCTGTACCACCACTGTAACCACACCACTGTAACTACTCAATAAAAATACAAGAATACTTACATAAACTCAGAGGTGACACTCTACTGTAACACCACTGTAACTGCCATAACACCACTGTAACACTGTACCAGACTGTAATCACCACTACTTACATTTAGGGTGAGGGAGGCGGGGGAATCCTCCACCTTCCTCCTCCTCCTTCTCCACTGTATCAGCACCACTGCTGTAACACTTGTACCGCCACTGTAACTTCACTGTACCATCTGTACCGCCACTGTAACTTCACTGTAACACTTGTACCGCCACTGTAACTTCACTGTAACACTTTAACACCACTGTAACTTACACTGCACGTTCACTGTAACACTTGCATAGCCATTGTAACACTTGTGCTGCCACTGTAACCTCACTGTAACCCATGTACCGCCACTGTAACGACGTCTTATGGTCCGTCAGACACACACACATACCCTGTAAAGAGAAAAGTTTGTATTATTAGAGTTTATTGAAGAATTAAGATCACGTAATTGATCTCTCTCTCTCTCTCTCTCTCTCTCTCTCTCTCTCTCTCTCTCTCTCTCTCTCAATATTTTTTCAATTTGTCTATTTTCAATTTCTATTTTTTAATATTAATTTTAAGTATTTTTTATTTAATTGTCTATAGCTTAACCTGTATTTATATCTATTTATTTATCTATCAAGGTCACATACACAAGGAATTAAATAAACACGAAGGGAAACAATAGATAAAGTAAGACAAAACAAGGAAACGGCAATAGAGAGAACAAGAGACAGGGAAGAGACAATAAATGAATGAATGAGAGAAAAGGTAACTCAGATATAGCTTCAACAAAAGCCCCCATGGCGCGTATTGATGGGTAGGTGGGTAGCTCTCTCTCTCTCTCTCTCTCTCTCTCTCTCTCTCTCTCTCTCTCTCTCTCCTCTCTCTCTCTCTCTCTCTCTCTCTCTCTCCTGGCATCCTCATCTGCTCCTCCCCTCACCACCCCCCCTCCCCTCACCTTGAAAGAGGATACTGTACCGGAAGTTCGCCAGCCCTCACCTCCTCCCCCCCTCTGCCTCCCCAGTGACAACTGGTTCATTCCTCACCTTTCCTCACCATTCTCACCCTCTCTCTCTCTTCCCTTTCCCCTCCTAACTTTCCCCCCTCACTCCCTAGCAATCCCCCCCCACCTCTCCCCCACCTCATCATCAGCCCCCACCCCCCTTCACAACTCCCCTCACCCCCCCCACCCATCCTCCCTCACCCCCCCACCCATCCTCCCCTCCCCCACCCATCTGCTCCCTCACCCCCACCCATCCTCCCCTCCACCCCCCATTGTGCTGCAACTCTACTGCGTTCAGGGTTTTTTTTAATTACCTGAGGGAAGACAAAGTGGTTTATGTTTCTGGTAATTATAACCTGAGAGAGATCACAACGGGCCTCCCGGACTCTAACAACCTCCTTCTTCTAACCACGAGGGCAAAGGTTTTACTGAGAACAGTGAACCAGTACATTAAAGCGTAGAAACAAGGAGACATTGAACTAAGACCCCATTAGAACTAGGGACCCATTAATCAAAACGAAAAAAATATAGACAATCTAATTTTATATAAGCGTGAGAACTTGTCTTCAGTAACTCGTCAACCTCACTATTGTGTTTACTCTCTACACACACACTCAGACAGCGGCCAGACAACACTTATCTCAGCACTTTACCTCAAATATACTGAATTTCGGGCGTTTTTTTCCCCGCGTTATATTTGCCAAGTTTTATTTCCCGCGCCTTTTCGTGTATTTCCCGCGCTTTTTTCCCTGCGTTATATTTGCCAAGTTTTATTTCCCGCGCTTTTTCGTGTATTTCCCGCGCTTTTTTCCCCACGTTATATTTGCCAAGTTTTATTTCCCGCGCTTTTTTTTTACGGTGTTTTTCGGATCTTTTACACTTTTGTTTTCTTTTTCCATAACCAGAATAAAAAAAAATCACAAATTACGAGTTTTTTTTATTTTATTTGTATATCGATTTTTCAAGGTGTTCCCTATAGCGTGGGAATCCTGGCGTGGAGGTTGGGGTCCATTAGCACTAGGGCCCATTAGGACAGGGGTCTATTAGAACAAAAAACCAGAATCCATCGATTTTTAAATAAACTTTACTGATTAAAACACAATAAACGCCCAGTAGCTAAAAGTATACTTCTCTGGGTAAATAACCACCTTGACCTTTGACCTCTTGACCCCAAAATCAAAAGGCATCATAAGACACTAAATTATAACCCACAGGTCAAGTGTAATGAAGATCTGAATAGTTTAACTCAAGTTATTACGTGGACACCAAACAGACAGACAGACAGACAATTGAACAGACGAAAGCTTAATGTTCCTCTGAAACATTTTCTGTCCGGTATTAAAAATAACTGGACACTAGTAGACTATAGTGGACTGGTACTCTGTGTAATACTGTACTTCCTGATTACTACAAGTACCTCCTGATTACTACAAGTACCTCCTGATTACTACAAGTACCTCCTGATTACTACAAGTACCTCCTGATTACTACAAGTGCCTCCTGATTACTACAAATACCTCCTGATTACAACAAGTACTTCCTGATTACAACAAGTACCTCCTAATTACTACAAGTATCTCCTAATTACTACAAGTACCTCCTGATTACTACAAGTACCTCCTGATTACTACAAGTGCCTCCTGATTACTACAAGTACCTCCTGATTACTACAAATACCTCCTGATTACTACAAGTGCCTCCTGATTACTACAAATACCTCCTGATTACAACAAGTACTTCCTGATTACTACAAGTACCTCCTGATTACTACAAGTGCCTCCTGATTACTACAAATACCTCCTGATTACAACAAGTACTTCCTGATAACTACAAGTACCTCCTGATTACTACAAGTACCTCCTGATTATAAGTACCTCCCGAAAGTAACCTCCACTGACCCCAAAAGAAAGACCAACCCACAAGTGAAGAAGCCACAAGCCTTTAACTTTCACCAATAGAAAGTATGATTCTCAGGGAAGGTCAACCACACGTATACTGTACTTTCCCCTACTAGATATTCTCCACACACACACACACACACACACACACACACACACACACACACACACACACACCTGTTTAGTCAGTTATAAACACCTGGTTGGTAAACATTAAAAGACAATGAATGATAACTTTCACCAATGTGGAAAGTTTAACTGACATGATCCACACACACACGGCTTTCCCGACTCGGTAATGTATATATATATATTTTTATAAGGTTATTTTATAGTCTTTGTGTGTGTATAAATACTGAGTTACCTAATTATTAATAATAATAATAATAAAAATAATAATAATATCAAAAGAAATACACCCATCGGCGTTCATCCTGGGAGAAAAAATAAGCACGGAAAAAAATAAATAAAAAAAAAGCGCGCGCACCATCCCCTCCCTCCCGCCATTACTGGAACCCGGCTATCATGCGGGGTATTGCAATGTCTTTAGAATAGCGGCAAACAATGACCAGCCAATCAGATCCCGTTAACAAAACTCGGCCAACACAAGGCTAAAATAACATCCAGGGAGACTGTAGTTTTATTTCTGTTTTATTTACGATGTAATGTTTCTTTGATGATGATAATAATAATAATAATAATAATAATAATAATAATAATAATGTCAAATCACCATAGTTACCCATACTTACTCCCCCTCCCCACCCGTTCATAAACTCCCCCATCTCCCCACCTCCTTACCCTCACCCTATCTCCCCACCCCCTTACCCTCACCCCATCTCCCTACCCCTTACCCTCACCCCATCTCCCCACCCCCTCATAAACTCCCCACTAAAAGTAATCACCCCGTTTACAATCCTCCATGCACCCCGAGAACCAACATGGCCTGAAGGACACACACACAGTCTTAAATCACGTGAAGAGGAATACACTAACCTAACACTAACTTATCCTGATCTGACACTAACCTAACCTAAAATACAAACCTAACACCAACTTAATCTAACCTAGTTAAATCCGACTTAACACTAACCTAATACTTAACTAACCTAACACTAACTTAACCTAATTTAACACTAATCTCTCTACTTTAACCTAGCATTAACCTCACGAAAATAACATAATTGTAATCTAATCTAACCTAACCTAACCTAACCTAGTCTAACCTAATCTAACCTAATCTAACCTAATCTAATCTAACCTAACCTAACCTAACCTAACCTAGTCTAACCTAACCTCACCAATTTCTATTTTATGTTAACCTAACCCTCCAGGAAGCGTTAGGTTAGATTAGCGTTAAATTAATCATCAGGTGAAAAAAGCTTAGGGGGTTAACCTTGAGGTGAAATAAGCTTTGGGGGTAAAACTTCAGGTGAAATAAGCTTTGGGGTAAAACTTCAGGTGAAATAAGCTTTGGGGGTTAAATTTCAGGTGAAATAAGCTTTGGGGGTAAAACTTCAGGTGAAATAAGCTTTGGGGGTTAAACTTCAGGTGAAATAAGCTTTGGGGGTTAACCTTGAGGTGAAATAAGCTTTGGGGGTTAAACTTCAGGCGAAATAAGCTTTGGGGGTTAACCTTGAGGTGAAATAAGCTTTGGGGGTAAAATTTCAGGCGAAATAAGCTTTGGGGGTTAAACTTCAGGTGAAATAAGCTTTGGGGGTTAACCTTGAGGTGAAATAAGCTTTGGCTAATCTGCAGAAGTCTGTAAGTTACTCCACCTTCCTCTCGGCCTTGTAGGTCTTGAGAGGCTACGATCATGACTTAAAGCACTGGGTAGGTTAGGTTAGGTTAAGTCATGTTAGGTTAGGTTAGGTTAGGTTAGGTCGAGACAGTCATGTTAGGGTAGGTTAGGGTAGGTTAAGTGAGGGTAGGTTAGGTTAGGGTAAGTTAAGTGAGGGTAGGTTAGGTTAGGTTAGGTTAGGGTAGGTTAAGTGAGGGTAGGTTAGGTTAGGGTAGGTTAGGTGTGGTCGAGACAGTCATGTTAGGGTAGGTTAGGTGTGTGGTCAGGACAGTCATGTTGGGAATTGGGTTAGGTGTGGTCAGGACAGTCATGTTAGGGTGGGTTAGGTGTGGTCAGGACAGTCATGTTAGAATTGGTTGGGTGTGGTGGTCGAGACAGTCATGTTAGGGTAGGTTAGGTGTGGTCCAGACAGTCATGTTAGGGTAGGTTAGGTGTGGTCGAGACAGTCATGTTAGGGTAGGTTAGGTGTGGTCGAGACAGTCATGTTAGGGTAGGTTAGGTGTGGTCGAGACAGTCATGTTAGGGTAGGTTAGGTGTGGTCCAGACAGTCATGTTAGGGTAGGTTAGGTGTGGTCGAGACAGTCATGTTAGGGTAGGTTAGGTGTGGTCCAGGAAGGCTGTAAAACCGGATAACACGGCAAAAAAAATATTGTCTCAGCTCAAGGCGGGAAATTTCAGCCAGTCATTCCTGCCAAGAAAAAAAAAAGA